AAGCGGTGCTAGATCTTCCAGCTTGGTCGCAGGGAGTTAGTTGAGGGCGCTTGGATATCTTGATGCCTCTTGACCTATGTCTTGCGAACCCTAACCCCATAAGCATTGAATCTGGTCCTGTGCCATAAGCCCGGAACCCGAAACCCCAACGTGCCCAAAGCCAAACCTCTTAGAGTCTAGTTCCCCATATGGATTGCGGATGATACAAGTAGCTGATAACCACCAATGGACCATGAACTAGAATCCAATGCTTAAGATCACACTCGTCATGCTTATCATCGCTGTCATTGTCCTCCTTCTCCTCCTCCCATCAACAGAATCTGGGCTTGGTGTAGGAGAAGCCTCCCTATCCCAAGGCCCTCACGGCTCCGATGTTCTTCATCACTCCACTGAAACAAGCACACAAACCTCCAGAATCCGCAAACAGCGAGGTGCTCGAAAGATAGTCGAAGTGCACCGCCGAAGAACAACTTGCCGTGACGACCTATCGGGTATGCTGCATGCCTTAGGACAGGGCTTAAGGCTTGCAGATTGAAAATTAGGCTCGCCCAACACCTAAACAAACCGCAGACTCACGCATGCCTACCGTGTCTATCACTTCTTCAAGTTGGTAGACCTGCTACTGTACCGCTTCTGTTGCACAACCTTGCAGCGGCACACCATTTCTCTGCTAGCTGGGGTCTTGGCGTGTAGATATCAGAAAGATGGCCCGAGTCGAAGACGTGTTGAACCTTCCGACAAGCTCCGATTTCGTGTTTTCAACATCTTTTGTCAACTCTACCCCCAGGCATGTACCTGTTGAGGTTTTGGGAGAAAGGCTTCGGCATGCAACATGTAATCATGGAGCATGCTTGTGCTAAAGTGCGCAAGGTTGGGTTCCTCAGATTGGACTTCGGACTATCCTCATCCTGAACCCACAGCAGTTGCAAACTGTCAGCATCCTAAATTGCCATGTTTAAACTACCTATAAACATAGTGTGTTGTTTTATTTGTTAATGTGTTTTTCGAAGTGCGATGTAGCATAGATCACTAGGCGTCAGAGTCTCATGTGGTGACAATTCGCTTAAAATTAAGTCCATGCGTGCTCGCCACATGACATGAAATTCAGTCATCTACAAAAAGGGATGCAAGCCCTTGCAAGATTCATGAACCAGCATCCTTGCTTATGACCACCTCCTGTGACCGTGGCATTGAAGGGCCGGATTTACCTTGCGACTTGTCCAGGTTGAAGCCACCAGCCGACAACGCCCTCCTTTTGCTTGAATGCTTTCGTAGTGCGTGCAGCCTGTGCCTGCGTGGTCAGGTGGGTAACTAGGTGGCCGGCTGCGTGGGTGGGTTGGGTGGGCGGATGGGCGTGTACCTGGGTGGCTCCGACTGTCTCTCGCTCTCTCTGTCTCTATCTCTGCCTCTGTGTAGACTTTCAAAAACCGAAAGCCCTAAGCCCCGAGTGCAAGGCCACCTCAGGATGCTCGGAACTACGGAAGCTGGAAACTCTGCCTGGACACCCGATCCTGGCTGTTCGCGTCAGCATGCCCCAAGTCGCCCATACCAAACCCCTTAAAACCCTGGCGCCAACATCTCTAAAACTCCAAACGCTAGCAGACAACAAGAAAACACATCATCCCCCTACCGGGCTCCGGGCTCATCAACGAGGCGCTGTCGCTGTGCAACCTCTCTGCTCCGCGACCAGATTGTAGGGTTAGGGTTTAGGGGTTTAGAGTATTAGTGTTAGGCTGCTTTGCTCGTGTTGCACCCTTTCTCCTGCGGCACTGACCAAACATGGACCCTGAAACGAAAAACCGTCTTCAGCATCTGAGCTCGTAGGGGGAGAGTTTTGTCTTTTGGGCAGTACACATGGCCAGAATGCAGTTCAATAATGAAACACGACCTGTCAGAAGCGATAGAAATGGCAGAAGCTGAAGATTAAAACCCTGTAGCGACAATCTGAAACCACTTAGACTCAATCGGTGCCACGAATGAGTGAAATTGTCATCCCAACTCTCTGATTCCTAAACCCTTCAACCTCAAAGCTCCCTGAGCCCTGCCCATGAACCCGCTAGAATAGCATAAAACCCCTAAGCCCCTAAAGCTTGAACCCTGAACATTAAACCCGACACCCTTAAACGCAAAGCTCCCACACCCTGAAACACTAAACCCGAAACCCCTAAACCCAAAACTCCTAGACCTTGAAAAACTAAACCCGAAACACCTGAACTCAAAACTCCGAAACCCTCAACCACGTAAACCCCTTAGCCTTAACCTCCACCTCAAAGCCCGAAACCCCGAAACCCTAAACCCGAAACCCCTAAACTTTAGGGGTTTCGGGTTCAGGGCGTTGGGCCAAGGAGCCGCAGTTGAACCATCGAGTCGCAACACGGCTGGCGACCTCGGGGAGAGCTCAGAGAAAATGCTTGGCTCGGTCTAAAGTTTAGGGTTTTTTGGATCTTTAGGGTTTTGGGGGTTTAGCTTCAGGCTTTTCGGGTTTTGTCAAGCTTTGGGGCTTAAGGGTTATGGTCTGGGGTTTACTGCATCAACGGTTTTGTTTCCAGACTTTCGGACAGTGCGTCTATTCCATAAATCACAGCCAGAGCCCGGTCAGGGCTTCCTTGCCTTTGGGGGCATGAGCGTGCTCATCAACACTATCCGTGGCCACCTCCACCTCTCTAGGCATCTGAACCCACACGTGCGAGAATGCTCCACTGAGTTGTCTAAGGAGTCTAAGGCGCCCATGAGAATCGGAGCTGATTGCAATCGGGACCGATCCCCCCAGGTACACTCAGCACGTTCTATGCACTCACACTCAGTGTTTCCTTTGGGCTCGCAGCTAAGATCAGCTAAGCAAACATCACTCGTTTCATGAGCTCCTCGCCCATAGTGCGTTGGTGAACCCTGAAAACACAGGGGCCGCCCGGCGGCGCGCTGTACTCAGCGAACACTCATGGCATATGGGACACACACCTCCCACACACCAAAGCGGCACACAGTGCCTCTACCACAACGACGCTTAGGCGGGACACACACCTCCCACACACCAAAGCGGCACACAGTGCCTCTACCACAACGACGCTTAGGCAAAGTCTTACACACGGGGCTGTCCTCAGGCACTACGCAAGGAGAACTGGGCAAAGGCTCAAAACGACGCTTCCCCTCAAGCTTAGGATTCGCAGGCAGTGCGACTCGCGGTCTCTTGCGAAGCTTCTGACGTGCAACCAAAGTGGACGACCCCACAGAGCCTTGACGCAGCCACACGGAGCTCGAGCAGCGGAGGCGGAATGCCTGCTCACCTGTCATGCAGTGAACTCCACGCCACTCGTACGCCAACTCCGGCACTTCTGCCAGCTCATCAGCCACAACTTTGCGCGCCCGCTTGAATGATGCACGAATCCTTCCGGCGTCTGCACGTTCCCGGGAGGAACAGGATTGGTGGCGACACAGGCTCTTTCAAGACAAACTTGAGCTGCTGCTTGAGGATGGTTGCCTGCTTGATCTTTGCGCGGTGATATCGCCAAGGCATTGCGCTTTGGCCGCGCGGCGCTTTTTTCCAGCCAGTTGCCTAAGGCACACACCTCAGTGGCGTCCAGTCCAGTCCTCTTATGGCAAGGACAAAGTGACAGGAACCTGGTGCCAACACTTAGAATTGACCCGGCGCGACTCTGCGGGCGGTAGGATATCTGTACAATGGCCATGGCTGGTTGCGCTACCGGCGCCTGCCTTGCACCGTGCCCAATGGCTGCTGATCTCGCAGCCCGAAACGAATGAGCCAGATCAAGTTCTGGGGCGAAACGCAGGCGCTTTCGCATGAAAGACAGCGAAGGCAGCACTCGGCTCTTTGCCGGACTGTCCAGCACGAACTGGGCCATCTGCACAGCGGACAGATCCGCAACACACGCTCCCTGCCGCTGCAATTACTCGCACAGCTCAGCCCAAGTACGTACTACCTTACGAAGGGTGGTTTCCTCTGCCGACGCCAGGATGGGAGTCACTATAGCATCTAACAGAATCTAACACCCTCTTACTGGCGGTCCGCTCGCCTTGCAACTGGCTCGAGAACCTGCTGGCCTTTTGGAGAATGTCCACCAAGCACTCGCAATGCCGAGCATTCGCCTCTGAAGGCGGCACAGCAGACGCGATTGCACGCACAACTGTATAAATCTCGCACCAGCGGCGCGAGTTCGCGCTGGCACTCTGCATGGGCAGCTTCCCACACGTCGGCCACAACACGCCCTGCCTCAGCCTCGGCCTCCAAATAGAAGGCGAACTCTCCCCGACTTTCTATGCCAGCATCGTGCATAAAGGAATCCATGCAGCAGAAAAATCCGAAGAACGCAATCACAAACTCATGAAAGACACACCCGGCTACTCTGGGTACACCTCACACTCTGAGGTTCACAGATCGACTCATTTTGGCCTTGAGCCAACATGCACCACAGTAGGTGGGAAGATAGACTAAGGTGAAGTGCAAGAACGAATACTGTTCACCTAGCCTGCCCTAAGCACAAAACAGCAGCAACAAAGCCTCTAAAGCGCTACGGCCCCTGAGATCCGAATCCAAGAAAAGCCCTGAACCACCAACACTTCGACCCCGCACTTCCGAAACCATGTTTTGGATTGGGATTTAGGGTTTAGGGTTTAGGGGTTTAGGGATTTACATTCTATTTCTTCAACACCTACTGTAAACTCTTCTTCCTCATGTCGTAACCGCTTCCCTAGACCTCAGTCCAGAAATCAATCATAGAAGACAGAATAGCCGGAACAGGATAACGAGACCTATTCTGCGATACTTATCTTGCTAACTTTTCGGACGCAAGGCACTAGTTTACTGGGTATTCCTCCAGCCCTAAAGCCCTAAACGCTTTAAATCCTAAATCCTAAACCCTTTGAAGCCAAGGAAAACCCTATAAGCCCTATAAGCGCTATAACCCTATAAACCCTATATGCCCTATAAGCCCTATAAACCCTAAACCCTCCGTTAACAAAAAACAGCCAACCGGGATTCAGACCATCCCTGCTGCCAAAGGCAGGCCTCGAGGATGTCAAGGAGCCTTTCGTGGTTTAGGGTTTAAGGGTTTGGGGTTTAGGGGTTTAGGGCTTAGGGGTTTAGGGGCTTAGGGGTTTGGGGTTTAGGGCTGAGGGTTAATCTGGGGCTGAAAGGAGAAAAAGCATCCGCTTCCGGCGGTTCAAGGGGGGGCTTGGAGTTCGGGGTTAAGCCGGTCTAAGCCTCGAATAAAAGGCTCGGCAGCATCGAAACTTTGAACTTCATGGCTTCAGGGTTTAGGGGTTTAGGGGTTTAGGGGTTTAGGGTTTTAGGGTTTCAGGGTTTCAGGGTTTTGGATCTCAGGTTAAGCTTTGGGGGCTATCTTGAAGGTCGCAGGAGCCTAGGATTCGAGGCTGCTCGAATGAAGCAAGACCAGAGGGCACAGGGCGTCCACTGCGAACGCTACACAGAACTAGGGAGGAATCCACGGGATGCCCCTTCCACGGACATGTGAAGATCAACTTGGGGGTTTCCGAAAATTAGGGTACCCTATTTTAAAGTCCTTATGATAAGGATCCTGCTATTTAGGGTACTATATTAGGGTCCCCTATTTTCTGAAACCCCCACTTCGTTGTTGCAGCTGCTGGCCGAGATGTCATGCCCATGATAGGGTGCGAATGAGGACTATCACTGAACACTGGTTTTCATTGAACCATTGAGCGATCTTGACAGTACAGCAATGCAAGTAGTGGCTCACAGATTCCACATATCACAGCGAGGCTTCGGGAATCTGGAGTTTCGTTGGAGCCCCGGCCACTTAGGCTTCGGGGTTGTGGTTACGGCACTCCCGTTTTGGAGTGGCTAGCGGCCAGAGGAGGAGTATTCTGATTTGGCAGTGACAGTGTTGTGTCGCCGCAGGACCATTCAGGATTCCTTGGCCTTCGAAGCCCTGAAACCACCTAAAGCCTAAACCCCTAAACGTGTAAACCCCAAGCCCTCGAGCTCTTCAAGTCAAGCCCCAAACGCTCACACCTCCCAACCTCTCAGCCCTCAGTAACCCTTATATACGCCTTATATAGTCTCATAAGCCCCTATATAACCTCAAGGGTCCCTTTAAGGGTCCCTCCTTTGGTTCCTTGATCACACCTCCCAACCTCTCAGCCCTAAACCCCGATCTCGCCTTGTGCTCCGGGAGAAGACGAGCACCTTCACATCGGTTGAGCAGGCTTGAAAATGGGAGTTTCCGAAAATAAGGGGTACCTTATTTTGGGGTCCTTATAATAAGGATCCTACTATTTAGGCTTCTATATTGGGGTTCCCTGTTTTGGGAAACCACCACAATTGGTTTGGAGTTTTAACCCGGGGGGGGGGGTTGGGTTTAATGCTTGGCTGGGAGTGCTTTTCCTTGGGCCGTTTAGGTTTCAGGGTTTGAGATGGCTTCGCCAGTCACGTGACGCTTCAGCCTCTCTCTCCCATACTATCAAAACACCAGGTATGAACTCAAAACTCTTCTCTGGAACAGCAGCGTACGCAGCCGGCCCCAATCCAAGCTATCAGCTCTTGCGCTACGTCAAGCCCCGTCTTCTCATGACTTATTGATCAATCTGTCGCGTGCAGGGTGCCCGATTGCCTTCTGCCCTCTGCGGCGCCAGTGCTTCAGCAGAGGCAACAGAACCTGCAATCTTACGGAACATGAGGTCGAGCAACTGCCGGCCGCGGCCACTAGAACCACCACGACAGAACCTACGACCGCAGCCGAAGTATCATGGGGTGACCGTCAATGCCACAGCTACTACAACATGCCTTCCTCTTCTTTCGGATAACGGGTAGCACTTCCACCACAACCCAGCTCGATGCGAGTGTGACAGCAGAGATTGTGAGATAAAATCTCGACAAAAGACACGCGCATTGCCACACCAGAAGTGGTACGACGATGGCAGGAAGGGTCATGCAGTGATGTTCTGATGGCTAAGACGATGCCGATGAAGACAGCGGCACCCGACGTCTGATGATGATGCTGGTGATGATGGCCATTGTGGTGATGACGAAGCGGACGAATCACGCAAGTGGTATTGGTGACGGTGATGCCGATATCCGTTACCCTCAGCATCTTCACCACCATGGTCATCAACATAATCAACACCAGTATACTCGTGGTGGTCGCCGGCAACACCATCATCTCACAGCATCAGATTTCATCATTCCATCCTCTCATGTTAGGTGTTGCCAGTTGTGTCATCATGACCATCATCGCCATCCGCCCCATCGTCATCATCCGCGTTGCAGTCTTACATGCCTGCTGCAAGCCTTAAACCCTAAACCCCAACCTCGTCACTTACGGGCACCTGCATCTTTCCGCATGCCTCTGGATCTCCCAGCCTCAAAAGGTGTAGGGTTTAGTGCTATCATGCCTGCTGCTGCTTGTGCTGTTGGGAACACTGCTTTTGGTAGAAGTCTTCCTGGAAAGCATCCAAAGTACCATAGCTGTTCTTATTACACTTGTCATAAATATTATTCTTGTTTTGACCAGTTTTGCCATTTTCTTATTCTTCTCTTTAAAACTATTGTTACTCTTGCTATCATTGCCAATATTCTTATGCCGCATGCTGCCAAATCCGAGGCTTTCGGGCTCCGCAACTTTCAGAATCCGGGTTCGGGAATCGAGAACTTGCACTAGAGAAGCCTTGCATATTTACCAAGACTACTCCTGAAGGCTCCTTATTCTAGCTATACCATACTCTAAATCGTCATGCTTCTCGTGAAGACTCCCTACTACGGCTATACTAGCAGATATGCCCAAAACCGTATTCCAATCCTTTAAGGCCAACATATTAAGATCTTGGCCCCTTGTTACGGCTATACTGTTAGATAAGAGACAACCCTCTTCTAATCTTCTAAGCCCACATATTGAGATCTTAGTGTTTGGGGGTTCGCAACCTCTCTGCCTTGGCTAAGACCTCGGCCGGGAGGCCACAAATTTTAGGGACTCGGGTTCAGGGTTCGGGTTTAGATTACATTTTCTTAAAGTGCAGTGGCCTTAGGGTTTAGGATCGAAGTTTTTCGGATTTTGGGTTTAGGAGTTACTGTTCAGAGTTTAGGGTTTCAGGTTTAGGGAAAAGTCGAATCACTAACAAAGTCGGGTCCCAGGAGCCTTGGCAAGCTCGGGTTGGAGGGTTTTTCGGAGTTTTAGGCTGTCTTTGATTGAGGTTTGCAGGGTTTAGGGTTTAGGGTTTAGGGTTTAGGGTTTAGGTTACAGTAGTTTACAATTTAGGGGTTCGGTATTTATGGGTGTTAGGAGTTCATGAGTTCAGGGTAGTTTACGGTTTAGGGGTTCGGCATGGGTGTTAGGGGTTCATGGGTTCAGGGGTTCAAGGCTTCGGGCTTGAGAAGCTTAGGATTTGGGGCGGCAAGCCTCGCGATTGCATCATGAGCCTATGGCACATAGAGCTTGCCCGAGCAAGAGTCAACAAACATTTCAGCAAGAAGCCCGCAGAGGGAATTAAGTGTTCTATGGAGCACTCGAAGTCAGCTGCCCCTGGTTCACTAGACCACAACCCAGACCCCATTCCCGCCCCTAGAAAGGAAGCAGGATCTCATAATAAAGGGGCCTTAGTAATTAGAATAGGGTTTTGGGGCCCATTATACTATAATTGTAATAATATAGGTAATTATTAAGGCCTCTATAGTAAGCTCGTGGCTGCAAGCGGTTGGCAACTCGTCTCTGTGTGCAGAGATTGTGCTCCTCGGCGGCTGACTTCCAGAGCTTCAGGGGGCTTGCGGTTTGAACGAGTAATATAGGGGCCTTAATAATTAGAATAGGGTGTTGGGGGTATATTATACTATAACCCTCATTGATAAGGAACACCCTCAAAATAGTATTGGCAATCATGCCCCTGGAGTAACCACAAGTTACCTGCTCCCACGGCCGGGTTACCGCTGGCACTTTCAGTGTGCATACACAGTTTTGTTGGCCCTCGTATCTCTTCTGCATCAGACCGTTGTTGTCGGGCAGATGTAAACCCTAAACCCTAAACCCCTAAACCCTAAACCCCTAAACCCCTAAACCCCTAAACCCTAAACCCTAAACTGCCTGGACATGAAGCCTGCCAAAGTAGTGGGTCTTCTCTGCCTGTTCGCCTGCGTGGCTTTCGGAGAATCTTTTCTCCTCTTGCTTGCTGCACAAGGCGTAATGTAAGGGCCTTAATAATTAGAATACGGTCTGGGGGGCTCCGTAGTATAATTATAGTATGGTATACCCCCCAAACCCGATTCTAATTAGTAAGGCTTGCCCCACTCCGCAGGTGGGACCAGGATCACGATGCAGGTCTGTTGGTGCAAGCTGCTGGCTGCGCGCTTCTGCTCACCTCCAGAGTAACTCGTGTAGGGGCCGCAATGATCGGAATAGGGTTTTGGGGTATATTACACGAGAGTCATAATAAGGAGCCCCCAAAACCCTAAACCCTATAAGCCCTAATTTATTAAGGCCCCTACATTATGTTTGAGGAGCTCGCGTCGAAGCTGAAAGACTGCAGCTTGAACGTCAAAATACCCCTCGTCAGCTAATCATGACACGAGGCCGACAGGTACTGGGCAGTTTGTTCTGATGCCAACTACTCGCTGAAGCTTCAGGTGCATACATAATAGTATATTCTGCTCCGGAACGCCATCCTAATTATGAAGGCCCCTATATTAACCGCTAAGCTCTCCCATTACGACTTGGGAACCGGGCAATTCCTCGGAATGCATGTTCACAAAGCTCTCGCATGAGCTCCTTTGTCAGACCAGCTGTGGCTTTAAGGTTTCAGGGTTCAGGGCTCAGGTGCAGTTTGCAGGGCTGAACAGCTGTGAGATCCATTCGGAAATCGCGCGGACGTGAGCTAAAAGGTAGGAGACTCCAAGATGAATTATGCTTGCCCCAAAAAAGGCTCTATAAAATCAGAAGGTGCTTTCGTATCGTACACCAAGATCCGCAAGGCACCGACATAAACCTCAGTGGATTATTGAAGTTGTCAGCTCTGACCCAAGACGCCTCTCGATTTGGCTACTGTTGTACGAGCCAGGAGGGTTCGGGGGTTTGTGGTTGTTCCGAAGGCAAGAGGAAAGCCCAGGAAGTGCAAATCTGTGCAACACCTCTCCGAATAGCTCAGAAACATTCAACTTCAACCGACTTTGTGTCCGAGGCTTCATGTTGCGCTTCTGAGATGCCTAGAAGGACCGAGCCCGAATGCAGAACGCAGATGTAGGGCAACTCCCTGAGGAACGCGAGGCAAGGCACTTATATGCTGTTCAAGGCTTCGGGGCTGCATAAGTTGTGGGCATTGCCTCTACAGGAGTCTGAACCGCCTCCAACTTCAGTTCCTCTACGTTGGCCACAAGAGTGCAGCATGACGTACCTGCCACCCTCAAGCCGGAAACACCGAAGACTTCGAGTCTGGCAGACTTTGGAGTGGTATGTGCATGTGTGCAAGAGGTGCAACTCGACACGTCAGCAAGCTCCTGCTGCTCGGCCTCCGCCGAATCCTGCACTGCTCTGATGCGGGAGGGGAAGGCATGTAGCAGGGTGGAAACTTTGAGCATCCCTTGCGTAGGGGTCTCTCACCAAGGATCTCCGATATTTCGAGCGGCATTCCTTAATCAAACCCTAAACCCCCGGTTTTTGTAGCTCCGCTTGGATGTGCTACATCGCCCTGCTTTGGAAAAGATGTCCCAGTGCCCCACATGTTAAGTTACAAGTCCTGCTGCCAATTTCCGCCCTGCGGTAATGCAGGGACCTTAACAATTCGAAAAGGGTTTTGGCGTACCCTAAACCCTAAACCCTAAACTATAGTATAATTAGAATAAGGAGCCCTTTGGAAGAATATTGGGAATTATTTAGGCCCCTATATTAGGTTAAGCTCCTCGTAGAAAGCATGAACAAGGAACTCTCTAGCTTGCCCAGAAAGCTTCGCAGAACACGAGCGCGATTGCCCACAAAGCCCCCCCCCCCAAACCTCTCAATTTAGCAGCGTTCCTTACATCAGTTTAGGGATGAGGGGTTCAGTGACGCTTACAGACATGGATATTGGCATAATGCGCTGTCAAAGGGCCTGTATGAAGATCCCTATTTCAACTTAGCTTTCACTCCTCAGGGTTTAGGGGTTTCAGGGGGTTTAGGGTTTAGGGTTGTAGAGTTTAGGGGTGTTTATGGGTTTAGGGTTGTAGAGTTTAGGGGTTTTTAGGGGTTTAGGGTTTGGGTTTAGGGTTTTCCTGGGGTTTGGGATTTTGGGTTTAGGATCCCTACTGTAGCTTGTCAAATTTTAACCCTAAGCCCTGAACCCTAAACCCAAAACCCGAAGCCCTAAGCCCTAAACCCGAAAACCCTGAACCCTAAGCCCTAAACCCGAAGCCCTAAGCCCTGAACCCTAAGCCCTAAACCCTGAACCTTAAGCCCTGAACCCTGAACCCTAAGCCCTAAACCCGAAGCCCTAAACCCTAAACCCGAAGCCCTAAGCCCTAAACCCGAAGCC